GCAGAGCCAGGCGGATCTCTGTGAGTTCGAGGCCAGCCTGGTCTACAGAGTGAGTTCCAGGACAGGCTCCAAAGCTACACAGAGAGACCCTGTCTCGAAAAACCAAAACCAAACCAAAACAAGCAAACAAACAAAAAAGAGCACTTGTTCTCACAGAGAGGACCCGGATTGGATTCCCAGCACCTACACAGGCCCCTTCTCTCCACCCACACCACTACCTCTTCCCTCCCTAGGCTTAAACCTGCTGCTCCTAGCCCCCCGCGATCCTGCCAAAGGCCCTAGGAAGGGGGTCGAACCCCACGGCAGTACCTTGATGTAGGGGTTCTCCATCCAGGCGGGCGTGTGGGCCGTGGCCGTATCGGCCTCGCTCTCGTAGTAGAAGACGGTGAAGGTCTCCTTGCAGGAGCGACTGGCGCGCGGCAGGGACAGGCACTCCATCATGGTGAAGCGCAGCGTGGCATACACGTGGACAGCCCCCCGCCGTGGGACCCAGCCAGTGCGCAGCCAGTGGGCCTGGCCCCCGGGACGCTTCATGTCGCACACCTCATAGGTGCGCACGCTGTGCTGTTCCTCGTCCAGGCCGCTCAGCTCCTCCCACTGCGGAGAGCGGAGCGGTCAGCCCGGGACCCTAGCTAGCATCCCCAGGGTGGCTGCAGGAAGCAAGCATCTCGGGTGCATCCTTGCAATCCCCCTGCCTCAGTTTCCCTCCCGGGTCACCAGAGATCCAGCTCTTACCTGGCCCTCTGCCTGAGGGTAAGTCACCCACTTCAGATCCGCGGTTTCCAGTTTCGTGTTCAGCAGGGTCTCTGAGACAGAGAGGCAGAGTCAGCCCTCTGGGGGTCGGGAGTGGGAGAGAGGTAGGGCCAGCAGCTTGCCGGGAACGAACGGGAATGGCGGGGAGTGGGCTATCTTTCTAGTTCCAAGTTGGACTCCGGGGATACAAGGAGGTGGCAACATTCATTTTCTCGGGCCAAGGAGATAAAGATGCTTGCAGCCAAGCCTGCAGACCCGCGTTTGGTTCTTGGGACCCACGTGGTGCCAGGAGACAGCCAACTCTCATGGCACAAGAAAACGCTTTTCTGTCTTTGCACAGGCGCCCTTCACATAAAGAAAATCACATTTATTTGCGTGTGCGCGCGCGTGTGTGCGCGTGCGTGCGTGTGTGCGTGCGTGCGTGTGTGTGTGTGTGTGTGTGTGTGTGTGTGTGCGCGCGCGCACGCGCGCGCAGGGTGTCAAGCTTGGAGGCATCATTCCGCGATGAACCAACCATCTCGCCATCCCTCTGCCCTTAGGTTCGTGCCTCCTGACCCCAGTGCCGACGCCACCGGCAGCGGCTGGTAGGCACTGGACTGCCTCTGGGAACTCCCAGGTCTAGACTTCCTTGGGGGCTGTGCCCAGGAGGATGAGGGGAACCCATGCTGGAAGTTAAACGTCCACAACTCAGGAAGTCTGAAGAAGGTAGCTCTCGGGCTGGGTCTCCGCATTTGCCACGGGGGTTGGGGGCATGGCTCAGCCGCAGGGTGCTTGTTCTGCACGCTCGGGCTCTGTGTCTCATCACCAGCATCACAAAAACAGAAAAGAAAAAGGTGCTGGGCATGGTAGCACACTCCTGTAATCCCAGCATCTGGGGAGGTGGAGGCAGAAAGATCAAGAGTTCAAGACCAGCCTCCACTACATAGTGAGTTTGTGGCTGGTCTGAACGACATGAAATCCTGTTTAAAAAACGAAAACCAGGACAACCCCATCCTGTCCTCGGCCCTCGGGGCAGAGGGCTGCTGCCACAGGCCTTGGTTCCCTACAGGCCCGTCTCAGGCTCCACATTCCCTTTCCTAAGTGCCAAAATTGGCCTCCATCCCAACTCTATTCCTCTTCCCAGGCCCCACCCCCTTTTCACACCAGACACCCCAGTTCTCCTGCAAGGTGGTGCCCTAGCCTGGGGCACAGCACCTCCCCCATCTGCTGCCATCTGAGGAGTAAATTCTGGAAGCCCGAACTCTGGGGTTCCCGCCCCGGCTCCTGCAGAGGCCTCAGAACATCTGGAGTTGGTTAGGAAAAAGAAAGGAGATTTCAGGGGTGTGTGTGGGGGTGGTAGTGGATAGGAACACACCTGGCAGGGCTCTGGAATCATTGGGGGGGGGAGGGGGCAGGGTGCAGACGGAGTAAGGGATTAGAAGTGCAGAGGCCTCGGGCAATGTGCAGAGGGAGGGTTGGGGAATCCCCTGAAGAGGACAGGGAAACCTGGGGAGTGAGGAGGGGGGAGGCAGGAGTCTGGGAACCACATGGGTATTGAGTGGGCCCCCAGAGGAGGCAGCAGGAACACCTGGACCAGGTCCCGCCCTGCCCTGTGGGGCTGCAGGAGCAAAGGGGTGACGGGAATCCAGCTAGGGTGGATGGGGTACTGCCCCAAAGCTCCGGTGATGTCCACGGGTGCCGGGGGGCAGGCAGGAACCTGACCAGCCGGAGGCGAAGCCCAGGGGCCCTCAACGGCAGGAGACAGCAGAGCCCATTGGGGACAGGATGCCCAGGGTTCTGGGAAGGGGGTGGATAGAGGCTGCCGTCTCCACCCTCCATTGTTCCAGCCTGGATAGTGTTTTCCTGTCTCCAATTTACACACTGTCTGTGCTATGTGCAGGCTGCGCTTCAGCCCGCGGAGCTGAGCTCAGACTCACTTTCTCTCCCCTCACCTCAGACCTCTTCACCTCTGGCTCCCTTCCCCGACCCACCCTCACCTCTGTCCCACCTCAGCTTAACGACTCCCTTTCCGGGTCCCTGGGGACAGACTCTCAGTTTACACCTTCCCTGGGGGCACGTGGCCTAGGGTAAACTACTTAACACTTCTAAGCTTCAGTCTTTCATTTGTAAAAATGGGGAAAGGAGACCCAGCTCCAGCAGGGCCCCTGGAAGTGAAAAATGACAGAAAAATAAATAAATAAACGCACTTGGCGCAGGTGGAGGGAAGGCTTGAGAGACACCCAGGTAACTAACACACGTGAGAAGGGGCATTTCCTGTTGGCATCTTTCTTTCCCTCCGACACACTTCATGGATTTTCTGCCCATCTGACTTCCTCCTCTCCAGGGGCCCAAAGCCTTCCCTCACCCCCTCCCCACCCTCACACTTTGATCAGCCCAGAACATCACTGCCCAGCCTAGAGGGAGCAGGATTTTCCAAACGCCTTTGATTCCCGTCCTTCGCCCCCCCCCCACACCCCACTCCCCAAACACCCCCCTCCACTCCCATAGCCCACTCCCATACACCCCCCCTCCCACACCCCACTCCCATACACCCCTTTGATTCTAAGCAGCAAGGGAGGCTGTGGAGGAGGCAAATTCATTGAAAGGAGATTAGGGAAGCAGGCAGGGGGGTTTACAGGTCCTGGGCAGTCCCAAGAGGGGATGAGGAGTGAGAGGCTCACAGATCTTCAAGAGGCATTTGGAGAGGAATACAGGAAAGAAAGAAAAAGAAACACACACACTCACACACTCACACGCACACACACAGAAATCTGAGGCCGGCTAGGAGGTGGCCAGCTGGGGTGAATTAGGGGATACAAGCCAGTGTTAGGCAGTTTCTCCGGGCTTGCACGGCAGGAAGAGAGCCACGGGCTTGGGGAAAGTTTAGGTCAAAACGGCATTTAGAAGGTTGGGGTACTGCCTGGAGGAAAAAATAAAAAGAGGGAGAGAGAGAGCCTGCACGAGGTCAGTGGCCTGGCCAGCCTTTTGGCGTTTGCGTCGGCCTGGAGATGGGGCGACGAGGGTGTGGGGCTGTAGAGTCCAGGTGTGAATGTGAGGGAACTGGCGGTGGGGGTCGATTTACGGCCTGGCTGGGGTCTGCCTCCTCTGCAAAAGGGCCCCCTCCGGGAACTTTTCCCTGGAGTTTGGCCAGAGGTGGAGGGTGGATAGAAACTTTCGGGATAGTTTTGAATATTCGGGTGGGTGGGAAAAGAAAGCCTGCCAAGGGCCTTTGACGTGAGGACAGAGAGATTAGAAGGCTGGAAGGGGAAGGTGCCTGGTCTGGGCTCTCGACTCCATCTCTTTCCCAAACAAAAGAAAAACCCCACTCCCCGCCAGGCCGCCTCTTCCCCCGCCCCCTCCCGTTCTAGCACTATTGGTCCGAAGTGTTTAGGGGTGCCAGAGTGGGAATAGGGAGAGACCAGCTTCTGCACTCCGAGGCACAACTTTAGGGACCCCAAGAATGGGGGGGACCACCCCCCAAAGTAATCTCACCTTCTAAAGCGGTGGCGAGGGACGCCCAGCACAGCAGCGCTCTGAGCTCCATGGCGCCGCCTCACTTTGGCTGAATACGATCCGAGTTTGGGGGGCCCTGGCCCCCCCAGGTCTGACCCTCCCTTGGGCGGATGCACACCGACTCTGCTGCTGGGACTTTCCGTCGGGGGCTTCTCAGCGATGGCCCATGCGGGCGCGCCGGGCACCCGCGCTCAGGTGCGGCCCCCACGTCCCCGCCGCAGCGCGCGCGCGCGGGGAGGCCAGCCTTGAGGGGGGACGTCCTGGCAGTGGCCGTCGCTGGGCGGGCGGAGATCGGGACGTGGCTGAGAGTTAGGGGTCCCGCCGGGGCTTCGGGGGGTCCCGCCCTGGCTGACTGGGGTGGGCCGATGGCTCGCGGTCTCCCTCGCTCCCTGGAGTGGTTGGTGGCCCTTGCGCCGCCGGGCTGAGTGCGCGGGTCGCGGTCGAGGAGGGTGGAAGCCAAAGTGGGGACCGAGCAGGAGGGAGGGAGACAGGCTGGGCCGGGGCTGGGCCGGGCTGAGACTGGGCCGGGAGGCGCCTGGCCTAGGAGGGAGGGGCGCACGGGAGGCGGAGACAGTCCCGAGTCAGCGTCGCCCCCCCATCTCCCTACACCCTGGAGCCCAGGCTTCTCTGGTGGAGGGGGGGGAGCGGGGGAGCTGATTGGCTCCTATGCTGCTGAATAATTCATGAGGGGGGGCGCGTCCGAACTGAGCAAGTCGGGAAGTTAGGAGAAAGTTTGCAGAGAGGGGGAGGGGCGGCATGCGTGGAACTCAGGGACTGTCCAGGGGTGCTGGGTGACCCGTGCGTGTTGTGTGTGTTGGGGCCGGAGCCTAGGAACTTTCGGGACAGGCTTGAACCCAGCAGGCCTCACAGATGTGTGTGTAAATGCGCACACACACACACACACACACACACACACACACACACACACAAAGCCTGCTCTGACCTTGCAGCGGGACCTGAGATTCCACATCTGGATGCACGCCGTGCCACCTAGTTGGAGCAGGGGATTGCATTTGGGAGGAGAGGGTTAAAGCTATGCCTTTGGGGGTGGAAGGTTGCCCAGCGGACACCCCCCTCTCACCCCCAAGCAACAACAATCCCAGCTCCGAGGCGGCCTCCTGAGCGAGCGCTTACACAATCATAGCATAAAGGTTAAGTGCTGGAGACCCAGTATGCACGCAAGCCCAGCTCTGAGAAACGAGCAGAGAGGGTGGAAATAGTGGTTTGAGACCCGAAGAAGTATAGAAAAAGTAAATAAAAGGTAGGTGTGTCAGAGAGGGTGAGGGATCCCGAGGGATCTCCTCTCTCTCTCTCTCTCTCTCTCTCTCTCTCTCTCTCTCTCTCTCTCTCTCCTTTCTTTCTTTCTTTCTTTCTTTTTTTTTAGGAGAGAACACTCCCCCGCCGCCCGCAGCCTTGACCTCCAGGGCGGGGGTGGAGACCGCTGTCCTCTTTCCTGAGGCTGTTTCCTGTCTAGGTCCTGGGGGCCCTCGGGATGGCTGGGAGGGCCCTTCCTCTCATTTGCCAACACCCCCCCCCCCATCAGTTTGAGGAAAGGGTCCCGGAAAGATGTGCTCCCCATCTACTTAAGGGCACCGGTGGTGGGGGGCGCACTGTGGATGGATGGGAGAGGCGCTACCAACGTCGGTCCCTAGAGGGCTGCGGGAAGGAGGCTTTGATTTAAGGTAATAAGTGCAGGGTCTGGAAACTCTGAGGTGTAGGAGTCTGGGGCACCTGAGGATCTGCCAAATACCCCAACCACACCCCGCCCGGAGGACGAGGGAGACCCGTGATGACCCCTTGTCCCCGGGCACTTATCTTCCTGCCGCAAGTAGTGTTCCCCACCCCCTGCCCTTCCTCACTGCCCTGCCTGGGTCCTGCTCCGGGGTGGGGGGTCAGCCAGGGCAGGAAACAGCCGGCTTGGCTGGAGCCAGGCTGACCGGCTGGAGCTGGGAGTCCCCTCCTCCTTCCCCATGCAGTCTCAGGCTCCCCTTTTCTTATCCACAGAGGTCCCCTTTTTTGACTCTAACATTCTGCACCCGGGTCCCCCAGTCTTTCTGAATCACGGCTTCTGTCTCGCCCTAGGCGCCGCCATCAGCAGCCCACTTCCAGCCTTTGATTGCTTAAATTTTTCTCATTGAGTGGGACAGGCAATGCATTAGTATGCAGAAAGGAGAGACAGCGTGCAGGAAGGTGCTGTTAATGAGCCCACCAGACTGCAGTCTGCAAGGGTAGGTAGTGTATCTATCGGTAAGAGAATGACTACTGGCGTGGCCTCTCTGCTGCTCGCGTTCCAGGAGAGAGCTTGGTGGACAGCCTCCCTAGCACCGAGAAAGCCCTGGGTTCCATCCTCAGACCTGCATAAATCCAACGTGGTGGGGCATACCTGTAATCCCGTGGCTTGACAGGGAAGCAGGGGCAAGTTTCAGACTGGATTACATTGCAAGTCTTAAAAACACAAACACACACACACACACACACACACACACACACACACACAGAGAGAGAGAGAGAGAGCTTGTGAAAATCCCGTGATTTCCCTTTTCCATGCAAGTGACGCCTGAGGTTTTCACTCTGCCGGTCAGGAAGCACCCTCCATTTATCCTGTGCAGATGAGGTCATTCCTTCCAACACTCCCACCACCACAACCACTTTGTCGCCAAACCAAGTGTCTCAATTGCCTGCTGCAGGTGCGAACTTGCGTTAGGCCAGAATCAATGTCCCTGCCAAAGAGACCCAAACATCTCAAACCCTTTTTCCCTCAATATTAGGACACTTGGAGGAACAGAGAGGTGGCTACTGGGTGGTAAAAAGGACAGCTGCCATGGCGGACAATCTGAGTTTGAATTACAGAGTAAACCTGGTAGGAGGAGAAAACCAATTCCCAGAGGTTGTCTGTCCTCTGACCTCCACATGCACACTGTGGCATGCAACGGCTCCCATCTAACCAATAAATAAATAAATAAATACATAATTAAGACAATTAAAGGCGCTGGAGCGAGGGCTCGGCAGTGAAGGGCACTTGTTGCTTTTGCAGAGGACCTGGTTTTGGTCCCCAGGACTTTCATGGTGGCTACAACCATCTATAACTCCACTTCCATTGGATCCCCATCCAATGCCCTCCTTGGACCTCTGTGGGCTCCAGGCATGCATGTGGTGCACAGACATGCATGCAGGCAAAACACTCAGGCACATAAAACAAACTTGAAAAATCTAGTAGTAATAATAATAATAAAACATGGAGCCCTTCACCATTTCCACACTGCGAGCATTAGCAATCGCCTCTGTTTCCAGGCCATAGCAATAAGGTATTCTCACACACTGACAGGCCGATAGCTACACACAGCTTCCCTGATTAGCATTAACAGTAGGAGTCTTTTCTTCTTCTTCTTCTTCTTCTTCTTCTTCTTCTTCTTCTTCTTCTTCTTCTTCTTCTTCTT